CCCAGAATTCCCTGGGACCCCTTTGTAGTCTAGTCCTGCCCGCCACCCTGATCTGCTTTATGCCCCTACAGTCCTACCTTTGCCAGAATGTTATCTCCATGGTATCCACCAGGAACTGTGGAAGAAACAGCAGTAATCAGGAGGAGATTTATACTGAATGTAGGTTCCCTTTATATAAACAAATGTATTTCAATACAATTTAATAATTGCTTTTATTTTTTTTTTTCCTAAAGCTTTTATTTCTAAGTAATCTCTATACACAGTGTGGGGCTTGAACTCAAAATTCCAAGATGAAGAGTCACGCGCTCTTCCAAAGGAGCCAGCCCGATCGATGCCCCTAATAACTGCTTTGAAAAGAAAAAAAAAAAAAACACATCCAATTTGGGTTTTGTTTCTTAGCACCACCCATGTGCCAGGTTCATTCCTCACTACAACGCTGTCTGCATTTTCCAGATGAGGAAACCAGGATGTTCCAAGAAGTTGAGAATCCCACTCATGTTAAAACAGCTGGCTAACAGAGGTAGCCCTACCCCCAAGTTCGTATCTTAATGCCAAACCCAGGACTCCTCCTTTTTTTGTTTTCTAAATTACTTGTAATTACGTGGAGTGGAAGAAAGCCTTATTCCTTCAAAAAAGTATTGGTTTAGGGGTGCCTGGGTGGCTCAGTTGGTGAAGCATCCGACTTCGGCTCAGGTCATGATCTCCTGGTTTGTGGGCTCGAGCCCCGATTCGGGCCCTGTGCTGACAGCCTAGAGCCCAGAGCTGCTTCGGATTCTGTATCTCCCTCTCTCTTTGCCCCTCCCCTGCTCATGCTCTGTCTCTCTCTCTCTCTCTCTGTCTCAAAAAAAAAAAAAAGTATTGTTTTAGTCAGAGGCCTCCATTTGGTGATTTGGGGGAAAACAAACAAAAAAAGTACTATCCTTTTCTGTTGACAACGTTTCTTATTCTGTCAAGATGATCAAGGACAGGCAACCACCTGTCCTTCCTGCACCCAGGGGCCGGGCCACCTTGCCAGGGGCTCTAGAGCCTGTCTCTGGTGCTCCCACCAAAACGGGCTTGGTTCTGGTTAATTAGCCGCTGTGGTGCCGGTCCGGCCGCTGGAGCGTAGGGCTTCCTGAAAACAGCTTTCTAAAGAAATGACTCCCTTTCCAACGTGAAGCTCTCTGCGTGAGGATTTGTGGCGTCTCCCACGGGGCCATTTGCCATTGCATCTGTCCGTGCCTAGCCAAACACGTGGGCCCAGTCTGCTTTCCGTGACCCGAGAGCACAGTGGCGTGTGTGTGCACGTGTCGGTGCGTGAATCGTCGTCCCCCGGAAAGAGCACTCCGCTTCGAGTTGTCAGTTGCAGTTTCGACACAGAGTGGAGATCCAATGCAAACCCGCCCAGCGGCACTTTGCCGGTACATTTCCAGGCCCAGCGTTGGGGGGGGTTGATCTTGAGGGCCTTGCCTTTGTCTGCAGCCATGGTTGGGAGCGCAGAGGGACGCCAGTCACGTGCGGCCAGTGCCTCTGTCCGGTTCTCTCAGGGCTTCTGCGTGGCAAAAATCCACACGAGTACTGGCCGGGAACGCCTGCGAGAAAGAAACGCACCGCCGTCCGGGGATTCGGGAGCTCGGTCTCGGCCGGCACCAGACAAAACAGGGGAAGCACCAGGCGGTGGCACCGTGCGGTTTGTTAGCCAGGCAGCCATGCTTTTGACCTTGCTGTGGGTTACAGGACACAAACCTGAGAAGGAATCTGTTTATCATGTGGGGATTCATGCCATCCTTGACAGTGTGCAGTGAGCAAGATGGATGGTCTGCCACATCGGTCCCTCGCATGGGTGAATCGGGGCAAATTTACAGTACAATTTCTTTGCTGCTTCAGAAACAAAAATAACATTTGCTGGGTTTTATATCCAGTTGTACGATGACCCGGAGGTGAGCAGAGAGAAGAAATCCGATTTGTAGGATTCATATTGCCTTCAAGATTTATACGGATCATTTCTGCTGTTTACGTCTAGCTCTTTTACATCTTCTACAAACCAGCGGGTTGTTTTTTGTTTGTTTTTTTTTTTAAACCAGAATTTCCAGGTTGAGGACACAGGTTTATGTGATGGTGGAACCCTGGTCCTGTTTAGGATGATAAACAGGTTCACTGGTTGAATTGAAGTTGTTTCATTTGGGATTTTTTCTAGGTATTTACACAAAACATCCCTTGTATTCAGAATACATCTCCCATCTTGTTGAGTTCAGAATAGGTCGTTATCCTGCGTCTGATCCAGGTTGCTATCTTGGATGTGACATGTCCAGCAAAGGACACTCCACTTCTATGGCCAATTGAAATTCAGTCACTACTCCATGTCACATTTTGTCTAATCAGGTAGCGAGTGTTTTGGGGGCCACCCAGGTGCTCTGATGTCCCATGAGGGGCCTGCTTCCTGAGACTTATCTCTCTGAGGCCATACAGCCCAAGTGACAGGACCTGGCCTGGCCCCTCACACGTGGCACATGGGCTCTTGCTATGTGCCAGGCTTGATGGGAGGCGGCGAGAGGGAGCCTGTCCCAAGACACCAAGCCATCAGCTGACTTTACCTCGAATAGGACCTTAGCGCTATCTCACTCTGCGTTTTCCTCCCGGACACAGCCTTTCTGTGTATTTGGTAATTAGGAAATGGCCAAAGCCTTCATTCCAGACATCCTAGGACTCCGACGGAGGCTGGGTTTCACGGGTGGCACGGGCTGGCGCTCCCTACTGGGCACCCGGACCAGGACAGAAGGGAGAGCATGGAGACCCGACTGCCACTCTGGCCCCATCTCTCCCGGTGCCAGCGTGTGTGACGGAGCTTGGCCTTCAGAAGCACGTCCTGGGGTTTGACAGGGGGCAGAGTGAGTGCTTCTCTTCTGTCGGTCCCCTCCAGGCTGGGTGCTGTGGAGCCCTCTGGGATCACAGCAAGAACCCACAGGGAGTCCCAGGACTCAGCATGGTGGGGGGGGCCCCCCTGGGGCCAGCGGCCGAGGCCTTAGGTCTCCTCTTCTGGGGCCTTCCTAACCACACGTCGTGGGCCGCCCTCATTTAAAATAATCCACCCGTTCATTTTGTTCTGAAAATTAGGGACAGAATATAAGATGCAGATTATAATTTAGCCGAGGGACTTCTGAATTCTGGGATCACGGGGTCCCGCCGGAAGACGTCACGACCGTGATGGCCCATGGTTAATACGACAGCAGTTTCGCAACAGGATGCCCTTGTCTTAAGCCTTCAGATCCCTTTTGTTCCAACCTCTAGTTTTTCTTCTGTTGCGGTTTTCAGGGTTCTTGTTTGTTTGTTTGTTTTTTCATTTTTTAATGCAGAAGATGAAGTTTCTCTCAGGCCATAGACCCAGTGGCTCGCCATGCTGTCTTCTTGCACAGGCGTTGAATGTGTTTCCTGGGTGAGGAAAGTAATGCTCATAGTGAAAGATGGCTATTTTCAGCCTCAGATTTTCGTGTCCTTTCATTACAGAAAGCACTCCCAAGACCTCTGCCAGCTGCAGCCCTGCGCCCGAGTCGCCGATGAGCTCTAGCGAATCAGTGAAGAGTTTGACTGAACTGGTCCAACAGCCCTGTCCCCCCATTGAGACGAATAAGGACGGCAAGCCTCCGGAGCCCAGCGACCCGCCCGCCTCAGACTCCCAGCCCGCCACGCCACTGCCTCTCTCGGGACACTCGGCCCTCAGCATTCAAGAGCTGGTGGCCATGTCTCCCGAGCTGGACACCTACGGCATAACCAAGAGAGTCAAGGAGGTGCTGACAGACAACAACCTCGGTAGGTGCCCTCCCCGGCTGCCACGTTGGGGGCAGCGGGTGGCTTCCTGGTGGTTTCTGGAAGAATGGGTGCAGGGACCAGCCAGTGAGTTTAAACGTTTGTAAGCCATCGCTAAGGACATAAAACACCCTCCAGTTGTGAATACCAGGGCTCCCGAGGGCGGTCGGTCCCAGCCTGCTCCCTCCCCGGCGCGCCCACCGGGACGTCTCAGCCAACGCCCGTGCGCCCTGACCAGGGCATGCCCGGTGCAACTCCCCGGTCCTCACGGGTGCTGCCGGGCGGGAGCAGCATCCGGATGGCATGCTGGAAGAATCCACAGACAGGGTTCACGTCTCAGCTCTTCCTCTTACCGTGTCTGTGATCCTGAGCAAGCCACTCTCAGAGCCTCCCCTGTAAATCTGGGACGGCAATGCCCGACGGGGGCTTATGAGCAGAAGCCATTGCTTCGCACCGCGCCTGGCAGCTAATAGTCTATTACTGTCCTCCCCGCTGCTCCAGGAAGCCGGCTCCCTTCCCCAGGCCCTCCACTGGGAGGCAGTAGCCTCGGTGGAACTGAGTTCACCACCCCTCTCACTGGGGCTCAGCCCCAGACCCAGGCCATTTTGCTTCGTGCGTGCGCCACCCGAGGCAGCTCTGTCTGAAGCCTCTGGGGCACACGGGCGGTGGCTTTGTCTGTCGGAATACTAAGAGTGTTTGGTCATTTTAAACTTCCGTGCCCCCATGGTACAGCATTGACCAGATGGGATTCTCCTGGTCGTAGACACCCAGAGAATGGAAACAGCCTGTCCCCAAACACGCTGTCCTTACTTCCCGAGTGTAAAGGTCAACGGAAGGAACAGTGTTGCGTGCGGTGCGTGTTGAGACAACCCCGAAGAGCGGCTGGAATTTGCAGAGGGGCCCTACGTGTCTGTTTCTCCCAGGGGATAGCACAAGTTTGTGTGGTGGAGGGGTTAGGTGGCCAGCTTGCCTGGTTGAGGTTCTCTACCCCACCGCTTGTGCAAAGCAGAACAAGGGAAGAAGCGGTGTCAGCTGGGAACGTTCTTAATGAAGTTAATTCACAGAAATGAAATGGCTGTGAAGCCCCATATGTTCATCAACGATCGAAATACGCAGGGATTCCTAGACCTGGGTCCTCCCCTACCTTACAGTCCCATCACGAGTCCAGAGAAGCAGGCCCGATATCTTATTGCCACCCACCCCCTCACAGGAAGTGTCGTTTTCTGTAAATGTGGGCAAGCGGCTGAAGACAACTCTGCCGTTAGCCCACTGCTAAGTTGCAAGGTCGCAGTCGTGAGATCACGAGCGTGAAAGTCTCTACCTTGGCCTTCCCGTCCGTGTCTCCATCCTTGCTGGAGTTTCAGCCGGTGTTGGGCATGCACCGCCAATGCCGTGTGATGCGTAAATCAGTGCTCTCAGGGGTGAAACTTCTCCAGAGAGATGACTGCCTCCTCTTAGAGCAGGAACTTCCAGAAGAGCTCCAGCGCAGCGTCACCGTGGAGCTGAGAAGCCAGCACAGTGGTAGCTCTAGCCGGTCCTAGCTTCTCCGAGGAAGAGCCCATCTCCCCTGCTGGGGGTCTCTGAGTGGGCACTGAGGGGGCCAAATTACTGCTGAATTATGCAGCTGTCACACCCAGGCATCCTCAACCTCTGGCTTGAGATCTTGAGACGTTCGGGGGTCAGTCCCTTGAGATCATAAGCAGAGTATGTGCGTGCACACATTTTATCGGGAGAGGGTAGGTAGCGTCCCTCGGGTTCTCAAGTGGGTCTGTGACCCAAAAATGATTGAGAGCCACCGCTGCGAAAGCTCTAGAAGCAATACAGATTTCCAAGAATAATCCCCCCTGCCATACAACTGGGTGGGTCAAGCAAATAGTAACTAGCCGTGTATACATATATCACTTTCCTGACCATCCCAAGCTCCTTGGAATGTAAATGAGATTCATTTGCCAGATGAGAATTAGATAGAATTTATTTAAAACTACCACAGCAAAAATCTGGTGAGGACTTAGGACGCTTATAGGCCCTGTGAGTTTGAAATGCAGGGAACCACAGGTTTACGAAATCGGTACATGTATCCCTAAGTGAAAATGATGGAAACAAAAAATAATCATATCTCAAATCCAGTGCTTTCCAGGCTGTAAACTTCCACTTGAAGGGCTGCTCTTTTTTCTTAACGTTTATTTGTGAGAGAAAGAGGGTGCATGCGTGCGAGTAGGGGAGGGGCAGAGACAGAGGGACACAGAGGATCCAAAGCCGGCTCTGTGCTGACAGCACAGAGCCCGAGGCGGGGCTGGAACTCCCGAACTGTGAGATCGCGACCTGAACTGAAGTCAGACGCTTAATTCACTGAGCCCCCCGGGAGCCCCTGAAGCCCCGCTTTTTTACGAGGAGGTACTCCACCGTTGCTCACACCTGCCCTGGGAGCACAGGGGGTGGTGTTTCCCTCTCGAAGACGGGAGCCCATGAGCCTGTCATCCGCGGTCACCCTGCCGCTCGGGGACCCCTACTCTGTGTGGTACCCAGCGCCGGCCTGTCTGATCCCAGTCTCCATTTCCGCCTAATAAGTCCTGTTAGTCACGTTCCGAACCCAACTGGTCATTCAGGTTGTGCCGCATTCTCATTTGCGCCTTCAAAAGTGCCGGCCCCTCTTCACCCGAGGCTGAATGGCTCTCAGAGAAGAGAAATTTTCTCTTGAAGCCTCTGACGAACCCAGCAGCCCTGGTGTCGCTGTGCTCTCCAGAGCAGAATTCCCTCTGATCGGCCTGGGGAGCGGGCTGCCCACCACGGCCTCGGAGAAAAGGCTTCGAGGAAGGGGTTGTGATCGCCTTTGAGCTCCAGTCAGCAGAGGCAGCTGAGACTGCGGGAATAGACTTTAGAATTGGAAATGGCCTGCTTTTCAGAAAAACAGCGCTAAGGGGCTCTTTCTCCTTCTCTTTCCTGCTGTGACCTTGGGTCAAGTGGCCTGTTTTCTCAGCAAGACCGAATAACCTTGCTAATCGTGAAAGGAGCCAGACAGCCCTGTGGTTTGAGGTTGTATAAGAGAGGGCTCCCCGTGTGCTATTAACCTCCTGAGCTTGGGTGAGGGATTAACCACCTCTGATAAGCGCTGCCGGTGTCATCCAGGCCTCGGTGCCTCCAGAGCCTGAAGGCTTTTTTGCGAGAGACGTCGTTGTGTGCCAGCAGCACACGGGAGTGATACTGTCTCCGTCACCAGTGGAGTTCGTCACAAGTCTGGCTGAAGAGCTCTTTCTAACAAGTGCTCGCTCCGAGGCGGGACCCAGCTGACCAGACTCTGGGTCTTTCAACCCGTGCCTGAATTTAACCTTGTCCTTCCAGATCCCTGGGTCTCTGTAGTGACGTCTCTCTCCGTTCCGTTTTCTCGCCAGGTCAGCGCTTATTTGGGGAGACCATCTTGGGGCTCACCCAAGGCTCCGTCTCCGACCTCCTTGCTCGCCCAAAACCCTGGCACAAACTCAGTCTGAAGGGACGGGAGCCCTTCGTCCGGATGCAGCTATGGCTGAATGACCCCAACAACGTGGAGAAGTTGATGGACATGAAACGGATGGAAAAGAAAGGTAAGCCCCGGCGCCTGCCCCGGCTCGTTGCTTTCTCGTGTACAGACGCGCCGTCGCTTCTAAAGCTTTCGCACAGAGCAGCGAAGGGCACGGATCTGTGGCCGAAGGGCCCTCAGGCAGGGCGGGCGGGGGGAGGGGGTCTCTTCTGACAATTATCAATGGAGGAGTACCTAAGAGGACTGGGAAGGTCTGTGACTTTTCTACCCAGCCGACTGAACCCAAATACGTTTTAGCATTGAGGGGGGCACTCTGAGAGTTCCTCATGGTCGCCCTGGCGGTCAGCGTAGCCCTTTTCTTGTTTCAGGCCACCAAGAAGCGAGCGTCACAGCACTCGGTGGCGGCCCATTTGTTTCTTGTCTTTGCCTTGCTGGGCGCCTGGGGAGCTCTGTCTCTTGCATGTGGACCACCAGCCAGGGCCTTCCGTCTCCCGTCTTATCGGGAGAGCTCATTTATAAACACATTTGTAGATAAGGAAACCCGCGTTCAGAGAAGCCAGGTGCCTCCGTTAAGGTCACCCCGCCTGGTCACCGGAAGAGCACATTCTAGCCAGAACAGATCCCTCTTGCTGTTACTTTATGGGCTGTGGGGCTGCGTGGGATTAGCCTCCTTGAGGGCCAAGCGTGGCTGTTCTTTCCGTGCGCATCTGGAGCCCTCTCGGATGCTGATCGGCATTCTTCCCGCACCCCGGAGGCCACAACACGGGAGAAATCCCAAAGCAGGGGCACCTTGGTGGTGGCAAGGAATGTCTTCTCTGTCTCCTGGTCTGTACTGGTACCTGCTGCTCCTCCCCGCGGAGGGCACGGTGGCCTGAGCTCACGGAGTGGTCGAACCCGAGTCCCTCAGATGTGGGAATGAGGCACCACCCACCCACGTGGCTGAGGCATGCGTGTCTGAACCGGGGGCCAGGCACCAAGCCCAGGCTTGCGTCCCGAGTTCACCAAGGGAGTCTGCTGTTCGCCGCCGGCCTAGTGGCACTGTTGTCACCCAGCCAGGGCTGGAGCTCCAGGAGGAAGCAGGCACCTCTGACATCTCTTCCCAGAGCTCTGTGGGGTCAGGCCTTGTCTAAAGACGGAGACTTCGGGTCCTGAGGCTCCTGTTTGGCGCGGTGCCCAAACTTGACTCAGTCCACACAGCTCTGTCTAGCGTCGGCATATTATCCAGGAGAGATGAGGCCCTCGCGTTATGAGACTTGTCTGTTTTCAACCGCTGGCCTAATAAGTAGGGAGGCGGCACCTGCACTCACGGGCCATCAGGCTCTGAAGCTGATGCTCTCAGATGTGTGTTGTGCGGCCTTCTGTCCAGAATCAGCCACACTGGGGCCCTGTGCCCAGGCAGCAGCCTTCCACCCCACCCAGGGCCCTCCAGTGGACCCTGGCCTGCCTCCCGGTGTGTAGGCCACGGCTCTGACATAGGCCACGACCCTTTGGGCGGCTGCACATGATGTGACGCCTGGTGCCGCATCACCCCCAAAAGTTTTTTTAACATTTCCCCCTTGGGGAAATTTCAAATAAAGACGTAGAACGGCATCGTGAACCCCATATATCCGTCACCGAGTTGCGACACTTATCAGTGCTCACCCAAGCAATGTTAGAGCTCTCTGCGTTGTCAAGGGGTGGGGCCTGCCACCTTGAGCCCCTTGAGCTCCCCTGTGCTGGGGAACCCCCTCCCTGTGGCCGGCCCTCCAAGGCCACCTCCTGCACAGCCTCCCGTCGCTGTAGGTGTCAGGAAGGGGACAGCCCTGGTTCTACCACCCTGGCGTGCTTCTCCTAGGCCACTAGGAAAGGACCCTTGCCCCCACAGGTAGATCTCTGGGGGGGCGGCACAGGCCTCCTTCTTTCCGCACGGGCTCTGGGCGCCATCTTGTGTTACAAAGGAGTTACTGTTTCAGCCAGGCCTAGGCCCCTCCCCACGTCCCAAGTTCCCTAAAAGCAGCTGTGGCCCCACTGTCTTCTCCCTCTAGTAGGGATGCTCACTGGAGGAGCCTTCACCACAGTGGGTGACCCCAAGCACAGCACTTCCCTGGGATTTCTGCCGATTACCAGCCATCCACCCAGTGGGAGCGGCCGGCAGACCAGGCTCATTTCTTTCTGGCCACTGACAGTATGATTTTCGTTTTCTTTGGGGGAAGATTTGCCTTCTCAGCTGTGTCCTAGGTCAGTCATAAAATGGCAAGTTAGTTAAGTAACTCCTTAGTCTAAGTTTCTGCATCTGTAGAAAGGGGATGGTAATATGACCTCCTTCAGGTTTGTGAGCATTAGAAAGAATGTACGGAACTTAACCACCAGCACATCTAAGTGCTCCGTATGTCACAGTTTTTAAAATAAGTTGGGTTCCTCGAAAGCAGATGAAAGTCCATCATGCTCCCAGGCTGGACTCTATGAAAAAGTGAGCACCGGGTGATCCAGACTATGGGGTTCACACGTGCGTCATGCTTCCCTCTCTTCCAGAAAGATTTTGCTGCTTCTCCCGTTAGCTCGAATCTTTTATTGCTCTTTTTCCTTCTTCATAAACTTTTGTCTCCATCCTGGTCTGCCTTCTTGCTTTCCGTCCCTTCACGAGACGGCCCTTGAACCAACCTGTCCACACAGCCACCAGCCCCTAGACGTGCACCCGTACAGCGTGGGCTAGCTCATCGGTATCTCTTCCTGGTGGCTACAGATGGACCCTGACAATCCATAGTCTTCTCCTGTAACATTTTTTTGAGACCTGAACATCAGTGCCGCTGAAGGGTGTGCTCCCGAGCTGCGGGGCCGGGGCACTGGCCACCATCAGGCAGCTCAAGGCAAGCAGCACTGCCCAGCACGGACTTGGGTCAGACCTCAGTCCTGTCACTTACCAGCTGTGTGACCTGAAGCCCAGCATTTCACTTCTCTAGGCCTCGGTTTCTTCCCCTGTACGCAGGGGCGGCAATGACCCCTCTCCCACCGCATACGTGGGAGGATCCCGTCCCAGATGTTGGCCACTCCGCTTCTCCTATTCAATAATATTACCTCCTATCTTCCATCAGTTTTAAGAAGTTTTCAAGGATTTGCAGACTCTATTCCAACCAAGCTAATCCACTAGAAAGATCGCTATGGAGGACTTATTGGCTCGAGCCCGAATGGTTTTTAACTTGAAGCATAGCTGGGGACAGGTGATGCATAAGGACAGACGGGGCAGATGAAGCCCCAACAGCACAGAGAGAACAGAGAACTTGAATCTGGAGGCGCGTCCCCTTTACTTCACTGCTGCCCACTGCTCCCCCCTGCAGTCCTTCCACAGTCAAAATCCGTATCAAGGGCACAAGGACCCTGTTTGTCCCCAAAAGCAAGGGCAAGGGCAAGTCCCCCAGGGCAGGTGCATGTTCC